CGATGCGGGACTCGATCCCGGGACTCCAGGATCATGACCTGAGCCGAAGGCAGTCGCTTAACCGACTGAGCCACCCAGGTGCCCAAGATTTTATATATTTTTTTTAATGGTTAACTTTTCCCATAACATTAAAGGTGCTCAAAAAGTATAAGTTTGCTTCCATTAAAACCAGGAAAATAAAATTATCATCAGTTCTGTTTTTGGTATAAATAAGGTACTTAAAATTAAAATAATGTTATCCATTTTCATACCTCTCTTTTACAATTTTCTAATAGTTTTTCCAATATTTGATGTTCTGTCAATAAAAATCCAACCATTAAAAATATACAATACCACCTATACAGGGCTAAACATTTCTCCTTCCGCCTCTGGCACCAAGATGGCTTGGGAGGGCACTGCTCAGAACCCAAGGTAAGACTCTTCTAAGGTTTCTTTTATTGCTCATTTATGTTACTTTTCCTTATTACTAAAGTAATGCCTACCCATTAAAAAAATAATAATCTGGAAGCAAACACCCAAGGAGAAGAGCAAATGGAATACATATTACCCCATTCACTTGGAAACCTGCTAGCGTTAACTCTGAGTCAGATGGTTCACGTTCCAGTCTCTGCCCATGAATACCGAGGAAAAAGAGCAGAGGGAGCTGTGTTCAGCACGCCGCTGTTTCTCCGTCCCTCCCCCGCTCCATCCAGGCTGTGGGAGGTGGGTGTGTGAGAGGGAGCAGAGCGTATGGGCTCAGCCCTTCTTTTCTCGGGAGGAATCGGGCTGCCCACAGCAAGCTGTGCTCTGGTAAGTTCTATTCCTCTGAGTTGTACCCACCACCTCTGCCTCACAGCAAACCTGTCCTGGTGCCATCAGGGAGCCCACTGCCCTAAAAGGAAGGGGGGGGTCTTGTTTACTGAACCACAACTACACAGCGTATCTATACACGCTCATGTGCACACACACACAGAAACAAAACACAACATAACAGAAAACCCCCTCAAAACTAGAGTTAATTGAATGAAGATACTCAATTTTGCCCAAACCACCTTTTCATCCAAATTTTTTGGTGGTCAGCTTGGTTTTTGTCCTCATCGTTTTTAATCAAAAGACCAAGAGCCATCTTCTAATGAGTCATCCTAAAAGAAACAGCTCTCATCTTCTACACTTCCTTGTATATTCATCTGGTATCAAGCAGCTACCAGATGGGTTGTTTTTTCCTCCCCCTGCTGACCAGAGAAAGGAGTTCTATGAACAGACCCTCAGAAGCCTCTGGAATTCTCATCTTTTTTTCATTAGGTCTTGCTCACTGAGGTTTAGGTTGTACACACAGTACAGCTTATGAGTCAGTGCATGGCCGTCTGGGCCCCAGGGAGCATCTATGGTTGGAGCTGAGGCTCCGTGTGCTGTTGTGTGGTCGATACGTGTGTACCTGGGCATGCTCCTGGCTGGGCACAGCGCTCAGACCCGTCGCTGCCATGTATGTGCTGCCAATGGTCTTGATCTTTTCAACTCCACTGAATTTCGGCTTGGACAGCAACTGTGAAGCAGTGACAAACAGTCAGTGACTCACCTTGGTGCACTTTCTAAAGACAGTCTCAAACTCTACTTCACGGTAATGGGAATATGACTTATTTCAACCACTGCTTACTCACACTTTGACCTTGGGCTTTGGTGAGAAAGAACACTTCATACGTTCCACAAAGAGTGTGGCCTTGGAAGGAAATGCAGTATAATGGTTTACTTACAATTAACATGCATTGCCTTTTAAAATCTGCTAGTGAAGGAACTAGGGTAAATTATGATGCAAGTGACAATGGCCTCAAATAAATTTCCCAACTCTGGGTTTGAAAGGCTTAACACGAACATGACTCAGTGGGGGAGGTCTTCCGTGCATGCGGAGGGTGATTTATGACGAATTATAGTGCCAAGAACTGGCTTTTGCCTCTGAGCTCTAGATGTAAAGGGAATAATGATCTAGAATGGCTCCCCCCATCAGATCTGACCTGAATATTTCTTGTCCCAGTTTCTGGTACCAGTTACCAGCTTCCTACTGGCCTCCTTCCCATCCAAGTACATTAGGACTTGAGGTGGGATGGAGAATAGGTAAAAATAAGAGCGGAAGCTGTAGGAAAGAGAAGGGGTGGAGAGAGGAAGGGAAGGAAACTCTGAAAGGTTCTGTCTGTATCTGCTCAGGAGGACAATGGCACCAACTGAGGACTGGGAACATCCCGACCCTTTGTAGTCCTGCTTTTGGGCATACCAGTGGGAATCTCTACTTGCCATGCCTTCACCATAAGTCTTGAGTCAACCTCATGGTCACAATGGTGGGAACAGAGAAATGCACAGGTCACACAAGACATTTAGAAGGCTGGCCTGAATCCATCCTACCACATCAGTAATTTCATCACTGTATTTCAAAGTTTCATGGATCCTAATGAACCTATGGTCATGTATGTCAATTTTGCTACATTTCGCTTGGTATCTGTAAGAATGATGTAGCACCAACACCCTTAAAACCATAGGCGGGCTTGTTCTTAACCAGAAAACAAAACACATTATTCTCTATGTAGGCAGAATATTGGAAATTGAAAAATGCCACCTATTTCAAATTCTGAAACATACACTTTGTACCCTCTAAAATATATTATCCCTCATACAGACTGCTTTTTCAGTAATAAAGCATGTCATCCCTGCACAGTTCAAGTTGATACCTGACCTTGGAGTATGCCAAAATAGACATGCCAATAATCTACTACGATAAATACATCCATTATCTCTTTTTATATCAAGAGATAAGCAAGTATTTTTCTTGGAGCTCAAGCCTTTTGAGAAAAGTTCATGAGCACACTGGAAAGATATTTTATTGATATTGATTTTGGTACTTGTTCCTAGGAATCATACTATCTCACACATAAAATGTATTTCTCTCTCCAAAATTAGTTAAGGACAATAATAGAGCAAAATAATTTAATTTTTAGTCAGCAAGCACAAATTACTCCAAAAGACATATTTTAAGGTATGCCACAAGATTCGACTAACTTCAAATGCAATGGCCACAAGAATGCCAAAGTGTGGGATGGGGGCTACCCCTACCTCTCAAGGGTAATTCTCAAGTACCTACATCATCAAAGTCGGCGATGATCTCATTCAGGAGCCGAAGGCATTCCAAGCCCTCCTTGTTCACATCTGATTCTGTGTAGAATTCTTTGAAATCCGGAATAGAGGCAAACATGACGCAGACACAGTCATAGGACTGGTGGTATAACTCCTGCCCAGGAGAAAAGGAAGAGCTGAGCACTAGAAAACCTTTTCAACGAACACGCTCTTAAGGCAAGTGTTTCTTTATGCTGGAAACAGTGAAGAAATCACCCAGTGCCCCACTCCACCTCCCCCGTACCAGCCCCAAGCCCATTCCAGACCCTGGCCATTGAAGGCGGTGAAGGCTTCTAAGGAGCAGGACGCGGGCTCTGAATGCTCAACACGGTGCCTCCACCGCCGCTCTCAGCTAATGGGGGGGTCCTTCCAGCAAAATCCTCTCTGCCATCTCTACCTTAGACCATGGCAAGAGATCACAGACTTCTGGCTTAGGAAAGAAGTATCCTTTAAGCTACTGAAGGCAAACAAATGATCTCCCAAACTACTATATTGGTTTAACATGACTTGTGATGGCTACATCTTTTGCATTGAGGTCTTCATGCATTTTATTCTTTAGTGTCTCCTGAAAGGAGCAGATGAAACCCATCGAGGTACTTCTCAATTACACCAGAAAGAACGAGTGAAACTCTCCAGGTTACTTATTCATACTCAAGATAGCCTTTTGTTTTTAAGTAGAAAGAGGCTCATAGTTCTTCATCTGTAGACATGAATAAAATTACAATGTCTTGTCAATACAATTTTAAGGTGTTTCAATAATGTTTTCAACATACAACCTTCAAGTTCAGTGACTGTTTCAGAAAGGAAGGGCTGTTATGTGGGCACAGGGGCTGGTCCTGGGTGTGAAGAGCTGTCTTCCCACTGGTGCTGGCTCATCAGGGCCCGCAGGTGACACGACACAGGCAGGAAGGCCAGGTGCCATGGTGGGCACAGTGCAGCGTGGGGAACACCCCCTCCACCAGGGACTGCGAGGAGCATTCTGTTAAACAAGATGGCCAACCTCCAAGCGGAGAAAGAATGCTGGTGGTCAGGGCTTCCTGTGTGCCTGTCAGGGCAAGGGAATCCACTCCGCATGGACGTTATCATGAGCTCTGCTCTCTGGGTCACCCAGATGAGTCCCTCAGCAGGGAGAGAGCACTTCAACAGCCCTCTAAGTCCAAGGTTTGGTGGCCTCTCAGAAGAACCATTCTTTCCCACAGAGGTCTCATAACAAACACATCAGGACAATGGCGACCCATGAAGGTCATAACCACTTCCTGAAAAATCTAAACTCATGTCGGCTTCCTATTCTCAGGGCCAACCACTCTGTAATGCCTTCTGCTCCTGCCTCACAATCTTCACAAAATACATGAACAATGGAATCAAGGTTTCTCTTTTCTACTTGGCTCTCAATACGGTTGAGCTGGCCCATTGTGCAAACCTGTACTTTGTCTCTCTGAGGAGTTGTTTCTGTGAATATTCGTATCCTGGGAAGACAACATGGGGCACATGTGACTGCCAAGCTTAGATTCTAGTAATGCTGACGAAGCCGGGGAGTCAGGGTACAGGGGAGAGAGAACCCCCTAGAAGCCTGTTCTAGTTAAAAATGCCAGTTTTATAAAAGAAATATATATTTCACTGACTTTCCTGCTCCTCAGGAAAAGGAATACATCTGCAAGACAAAGAAATATTTTCTGTCCCCTGCATTTCCCCACTGTTTGCTGACACTGGCCAGAGTGACCGTCTGGGGAATGATGATGATGACAAGAGGAAGGCGGGAAAAACTCAGCACTGACTCCACGCTTGCTGCCTGAATAGGCCACAGGCATTAACTTGCCCCTGACTACACTCCTAAGAGGCTGGTACTATTATCCTCAATGTACAGAAGGGGAGACTGAGGGGGAAGGTGGTTACATTACTTGCCCAAGGTCGCAGTTACCAAGTCTGATGCACACTTGACTCTTATAAACACTATACTTTACACGTGAACCTGCATCTCCCGATGACCACAGACCGTACTGCTTAGATTCAGGGGCGGTGTGGGCCTCCAACCACGTGCAGGTCATGTGACTTTACCTTTCTCCTTTGCCCCTGAGGTCTTCAAGGGCATGCAGAAATGGGAGACAATGAAACACAAAACTGAATTGACTGGCAGTTTGGATGAAGGTCCATTTTAACTGCACTGGTTTGGAGTCTAATAAAACAAGGTTTATCTGTTGGAAGGAGTCTGGCGTGTTATCTCATTCCGCTGTCCTCAAACAGGAATGCATGCGACGGTCACCAATGGGTCTCCCCCTGACCAAATGTCACCTGGGGTTGGCTCCAAGCGTGTGCATGTTTTGGAAAAGGTCCATGGGTTCTTCTGTGGTGCAGCTGGATTACGAATCACAGGCTAAATGAGGAAATGGAAGGTCAGCGGAGCGGGGTGACACACCAAGGCTCCCAGCTGGCCTCGGGGCCAGGACTAATCTCTGGAGCCCTGGTTGGGCACTCTGCAGGTGGTGAGTGCTGCTGGGGGCCTGGGCTGCAAACCACTCACCCACTCTCTCTACAGATCAGTCACTTGGAACCTTTGGGGAAACACCAAGGATGAGCATGCATCTCTGGCCCCGTGGTCTCTGATTCAGGGCTCAAGGACTATTCTTGAGAAACAGGGAAACTTCACCAATGAGAAGCCTCATAAATTCCCTGGAGCCAGTGAAATGTGCAGGGCTTAGAACCATACCCTAAACTCATGAGAGGTTCCCTCAGGTCTTTGGGTTGGGCTTGGGGGCCAGAGAGGACCACAAGCTGATTGGTTGATGGCCTGTATTTGTTTCAGATTTCTAGAGGATCCGGGCATGGGGGTAGGGCAAGTGGGCAGCCTTTGAGGAGATTTTGGAATTCAAAGTCTAGAATGGGTGACTCTCGTTGGGCACATGGCTGCCAGAAGGTATCCCCGAGCTTTGGAGTTAGAAATAACCTTAGGCGTCATTTCAACACTTGCTCACACGTAACCACTCTGCCAGACAAGCTCAAGTAATTAAAAAATAATCACAGAACAACTGCATCTCTGTGCCCACTGCCCCTTTTAGTCTGCTGAGTGAGACCCGTTCTCCTACCCAATCCAACCCTGGACAAAGACTTGGGACAACCCCGTGGCCCTTTCTGTCACTATTGGGTGATTCAAGTCCTCTTGTCAGTAATTAAAGTGCCCAGCGCAATGAGTGGTCAGAACTTGGAACCTGGCTGAATGTGGGGCTCTTCTCCTTCGGCAGCATGAGGCTGCTGCAGTGGGGAGGGGGGGGTCCTGGGGGAGGGGGTAAGGAGCCCGACTGGCTTCTACACTCTCTCTATTCATGCTTCTACTTTGACCCTCCCCAGCTTGCTTAGTCAGGCTTTGCAGACCTCCAGGGGTGCAGGCCAGGGAGGGAGGGAAGTGTCTGATGGAGCAGGAAAGCGCTCCATTGACTCCATCATGCTCCTAGGGCACTCTCGCCTGGCGGACATTGCCATGGGTCACTGAAGACTCCCTGTTGCTTCCTCCATCACTGAACATCCCACCTGAGGTTCCCTTGCTGTGGACGATACACTCCCTCTTGCTTGCGACCACTCTCTGCCCCAGGCTCTCTGGCTATTCTTACAGCTTCTCTGCTGGGGCCTGTTCACCCCTCCAGGTGGCTCTGAAGAACAGCGTCTCAAAGAACCCTATGCCAGCGGTCTTTCCCTCGCTCTGTCCCTGAGCTGTGTTCAGCCTCCTTTGCCCTCCCAAGCCCGGACAGTTATACCCCCACCCACACCCCCAGCTCTCTCGGCCCAGAAACTTCAATCAGTCCCTGCCCTCTGCATTTTCTACTTGTCGGGGACCTGCCTGTCACCTGTATCCCCCAGAGGTAGGTGTCTTCCCAGGATACCACTCAGTGGCTCTAGTATAGGGTACACATGGCAGGTTCTTGCCCATGCAGAAGACTAGAGGTGAAGGGAAAATCCTTGGGGGGCTGCCAGCACCCCTCTTCCAGCCTCCAACCTCCTGCCCATTCCTACGCTTCCTTCTAGCGAAGGGTTGAGAATCACGCAACCAGTTTTTAGGAAGGGCATTTGTAAATGAGCAAATGGTTTAGTGCCCCCTCTGGAACAAGGGAGGTCCTGCTTGTGTGTCACAGGCTGAAATCGACTTTAGCATCTGGTGTGTGTGTGTGCACGCGCACACACACACACCCCCTCCCTCCTGGGGGCCCGCTGCATGCTAGGCTCCAGGCCACATGTTAGGACCCGCAGATGAACACCACAAGCCCTGCCTTAAGGAGCACAGGGTCTACTTGGAGAGAGAGAGCAAGTGAAGAGAACAAGAGAACAAAGTGTGATTGGTGCTGCTTAGGCCCAGGCATGGACAGGTCTGCTTGGTGTCCTAGAAAATGCTCAGAACTGCCACTAGCACTCAGTTTCCAAACTCCTAGCCAGGAGGACCTCCCATCCCCCACTCCCCCCAACCCCCAGTTGACCTATGTGCTGACCATTTAGCACCTGTGTCCCCAGTTGTCACCTAATTTATTATGCCCTAATTTAAATGCCCTGATTTATTCAGGGGAGTCAAGTGATTAGACAGCACAAAAGCTTCTCTGACAAGCTGGACGGCATTCTAGCCCGGCTCTACAAGGAACATGGTTGAGGGGTCTGGCTGGAGGGGTGGCGGCGGCGGGGACTCACAGCTGGGTGAATCCCCACATCCCTGCAGGGACATCTGGGTCCTGTTTTGATCAAGCCTCAGCTCTCCCGCAATGAGGCTGCCTGGCTCAGCATCACAAGCCATCCTTACCACCTGGAGACTCCATTCGGCGACCAAATGTGGTCTTTTCAACAAGTGATGAAAGCTAGCTTTGATGTCTGCTCAAGAGGCCTCTCGAAACGTTCCTGCTACAACATGGCAGTTTCAAGGGCTCAGGTTCAGGCACACAGAGCTCCTCCCCAAGCCTGAATGGCCTGTAGCCTGGATCTGGCCAAGACCCTGGGCAGCTGAGGGACGGAGAAGCTTGCAGAAGTGCTAAGCATGTCCCAAGGGAAGGAAGAGGCGCCTGCAGACACGCACAGTGACTCTACCCACACGCTGGGAGCACAGGCGGAGTGAACAGGTTTTCATCGAAATCAAAGCTTTCGGGGATTGTTACTGTGATTAAATCATTCTTTACTTCTGAGGGGAAATTCATTTCCTCTGAACATCCATGTGGTGGGCTGGAGAATCAAAAAGAGCTGCAAGGCTCTTTGCTAACATCGGTCCTGGCCGAGGTCACGTGTCATGTTCCCAAGGAATGTTCCAGAAAACCATGCCCTGGTAATGCTTATGGTGGAACTGAAAGGCATGCTCCTGTCCTTCCCCCCCAACCAAAAGTAACCCTGGGTCTCTGCATTAAGAAGGCGTGGGTGCTCAGCGCACCCCCCAGAGGAGGACCTGAGAAGGAGGAGCTGCCTGGATGGAGGGCAAAGGGATAACATTGGGGTTTGCTCTCCATCCTCCTTGGGCCGTGTAAAAGGAGGGGGAAGAAGGCGTCCTTGAAGCTATTAATAAATTCCAGTGGGCAGTGATTCTTAAGTTTTGCATAAATCGGGGGTATTTGCTTACAAGATAACTAAAATTGAGTGTTGACTGCAGGCCAGGCACTGCTCCAAGAGCTCTGCATGAATTATTGCTTTTAAAATCAGTCTCAGCCTCTGCGAGAATGGAGGCCTGGGTCCCACAGCTCAGAAGTGCCAGGGCTGGGCCGGACCTGTGCTCTCAGCCACGAAGAAGGGCCCAGCAGGTGGAGGAAGGCTGGCCTGGGTAGCTGGCGGGGTAGACATCCCTTCCCTTGGAGCAGCCTTGCTCTTGGGGTCCCCCCTGTTGGCGGTGCTCTGCCAGGCCTGGTCTGGAATCTGGCGGAAAAGATCCCTCTCTTCCGGTTTTTTCTGTCCCGGGACGGTCAGGCAAGGACAGAAAGGTCCGATGGGGACAGGAGAAGGCGGACAGCCAACTTGTCAGGAAGTCAGAAGGACGAGGCAGGAGTTTGCTATGGTTTATGCACTCAGATGAGTCTCCTTATAGTGACCTATTAGGAGTTTTGGGGAAAATAATCCAAAAAAACATAATCATCCCTTACTGAGACTCACGGTGGGGGCGCTCAGGACTGTTAGAAGGGGGGGTTTAGTGATTCTCTCTCTTGTTTGGCCCTGTGCGGCGAGCCCTGTTTTGCATTCAGGATTTTCCCCAGGAGGCTCATAACCAGCAGAATCTCCTACACCCGCCGTTTGATCTTCAGCAACTGCAGAGCAAAACCTGCCCTGCTCAGCGCGCTGCCTTTGGGCTGACAGGGCAGGCCGCGCTGTCGGCACGGTGCCCGACGGGGGTCCCTGAAAGCATTTAATCCCCCCACTTAGAGCGGCAGCTTGTGTAGCTCCCCCCACACTTAACCCACCCGACGAAACCTCTCAGTAAAGTATGGGAAGTTACAACCGAGGGTACTGGTGTGCTGTCCGCCTCCACACGCAGCACCTTGCGGCCCACAACTGTGCAGACGGGAGCGACCGAGTCAGGGACCGTCTCTTTGGTCCGGTGCCCCCGATTTAAGATCCTGTGTGTGTCGCTCCACCCTCCTGAGCAAACTCAGCACCCACAAACATGTGCGGGGATCGCGGTACCCTGAGTGAAAACCAAAGACCCCTAACGAGGGTCTGCGGCTCCGGAGCCTGGAGCGGCCCGTGGCAGTGAGTTTGAAAGGCTCCGAAACGGGGCACTTTCCCGACAGGGCTGCAGGCGGCCTGGGTCCAGGATCTGGCTCCTGCTGGCAGGGACCAGCCATCCTCAGGAGCCCCTGCGAGCTGGGGATTACTTTGGGGCCTAAGACAGGTTCCAAGTGCACACAGGGATGAAGCGGCCATGGATAAGGTGCCCCAAGGAACTCACTTTCTTTAGCTGTCAGACCGATGGGAAAGAGCAGCGAATCCACTGATTCCCCAGGTCTGGCCCAAGGAGAGGTCAGGAGACACCAGGAGGGGTCTGCCAGGGGGTAGGGCTGATCCCAAGGCCCTTTTCAGGGCTTGAACTAGGCACTCCTCTGGCCAGAAGTAACCTCTTGTGGCCAGATTATTCTCACTCTCTCCATCCCCCCAGCCCATTTCTAGAACTTTCTTTTCAGTTTTGCAATCCACTTCCTCACAGTGGTGGCCTTTCTGGACTCCCATATTTATGCTACCAGTGTGCTTGCAGACAAGACGGTGCTGTCCCCTCCAGGCGATGGGGCCACCTCTGCCTCGTTCATCTCTGTGTCCAGGCCCAGCACCAGCCTGGCCACGGGGCAGGGGCAACATTAGGCACACGCCAAATTTACGAGCTGAACCGATAACCAGACAGACAGACATAAAGATGCTCTATGTTGCTACTGAAGGCAGATGGCTCCTTCTTAACAGATGCAGTGATTTCATTATCTGTGACCAGCAGGTAGACAGGCTGCCAAATAACCGACCGCCTGTGGGGAACAGCAGGAGAAGAAACAGACGAGTGAGTGGTCCACAGTCAGTCAGACCTGCTGTGGGACCCTGACTGGCCCACCACGCCCAGCATGCTTCCAGGAGGAAGAGAGTGATGATGTCCAGCACCTCACTCACCGCCGGGAGCTTTCTACCTAACGTCAACTATCCAATATGCCACAGGAAAACACTGCTCCGAGCCTTCTCACTTGAGACTGCTTTGTTCTCCAGCATCATGGAGGTCGGGCTTATCCATTAGCGAGTTCATGCATCTGCAAGTTTCCAGATCCCTCATCTGCTCCCCATCCCAAATGAAAACCTCCCCAAAACACGCATTGCACCTCATCTCTGAAGCCCCCACGGCACCAAACATAAGCCTTTGTACACAGTAGGTGCTCAAACACAAGTTTCCCATTGTCAATACATCTGCTGACTCTTGTAAGTCAGGAACATGAAAGAACTTTCATGACATCCGATTTCATAAGCCCTTTTGACGTGAAAACGATACCCTCATCTTTCCAATTCTAGCTAAGTATCCACTCCCTCAGAGGCTCCAAGAAATCGCCATCTCCATCCATTCAAGTGAGCAGACTCAAGTCTTTGACCTGCTCTTGTGTGGATAATGTCTCAGTTCTGTCTACGTCCTATCTTTGAAATTCTAAGGCCCTTTAAAGGCTCGTGGGGAAGCTGCGAGCCATGGGATGCCCGCTGGAATTGTGCCTCTTGATTTGGTCTCTGTTGCGTGCTGGTAAGGGAGGTGGCCCTCACACCACAGAGAGGCCACTTTTGTGACTTGTTTGGAACTCCAGGGCCCCCCATTGCACCCTGAGAACTTCACGTGTTGGGGGAGAAACACCAGAAATAATGAATCCACGTTTGGAGGTGAGTCTAACTCACTAGTCTCAGCTGACGTCTCTATTAACCAACCAGTATCTTCTCAAAATGGACCAGTGCAGGCCAATAGCGGACATCTGGCACACTCAGGTGTCTGGAGGGCCACTGGCCTCCAGGTCAAGGCCAGGGCCTGCTCGCCCTGCCCCGGCCCACCGCCCCGTGGTGCCGCACCTCATTTTTCAGGCTCCGGGCGAGGAAATGCTCCGCTACATGCGCGGGCAGCACGTTCTCCAGCAGCACGCGGTTCAGGTTCTCCATGGTTTCTATCTCCTCCCGCTCTTTTTTGAACTTGTTCTTCCATAAGAAGTCTAACCTACAGTAATATTCATTCTGTTACAAGAGGACACAGAGGTAAAGAAACAATAGGCATCTTGTCCTGCCAGAGAGCGGAGGTTTTAAAGAGAAAACAAAAAGAATGAAACAAAACTGAAAAAAGAACCCCCCGAACAGAACGGTCACCCTCCCAACGAAGCCCGCTTCTCCCCCGAAATGTCTCCCAGACAACCCCTCACCTGCATTTGCAAAAAAAACAAGTTCGGGAAAGAACCAGCCTTGGGAACAGGGGGCCGGTGATGTCAGTGACGTGGAAGGCTTCTTGCAAAGTTATGTTAATAAAAAATGGCTCGAATTATCTTTTGAGAAGAGGCATAATAGAATGTAAACAATGAATAAATGAAAAATAGGAAATGCATTAGCCGAGAGAGTGCAATGTTGGATAATTTGCATTCAAAAAATAATAGTGTTCATTTATGGCAGTTAGCCTTTACTATTTGAAAATCAATTTTCTCCTACCACAAAATTCCGAGATTAAGTATTCATTGAAAATTTTCTATTTCCTCATTTAGGATTGCATTGTGCTGAGAGAATGACATTGTATTTACACAGAATTTCGTTTGGGTATCACTTAATTAAGATGTGCCTGCTAGTAAAAACGCACATGTTCATGCTTTATAATGTAGTGAAATTTAATGTTTTTTTAAAAAAACTATTATTATTAACGTAGAGACAGAGAGTCCTGCTTCCTGGCAAAGGGTCTGATTTTGACATCATGTTAGGTCTGCCATGATGTAAATAATTTAATATGGTGAAACAGCCCTGAAAGAATCTTCCTGAAACACAAGGGCCTAATGGGGTGCATTCCAGCACAAACAGTAACTTCCTGACCAGAAAAAAAAAAATGCAAAGAAGAAATCCATGCTGGGGGTTTGTTTTATTGGTTTGATTAATTATATTAATGCAGTACAAACACACACAGCCTCTTATGCACAGATGGCGATTAAAAAAAATCACATTTTGAAACCTGAAAGAGTAATGATCATTCATCATTTAGGTTTGATTCAAACCATGTATGATATGCTCAAAAATTATTCCTCCTCCTCTGGTGTGGAATTTATTTTTACTTCGTATAGAGACATTTTTTTTTTAAGACTGCAAAAGAGATATTTTTAATGTTTGTTTGTATTAAATTTTTACATTAATGCCAAATCCTCCACATTCTGCACTTTGAGAAATCATGCCCTACACTTCCTGAAAAAGCCTCTCACTTGGAGAATAGATTATTTGGATGAACCAGTGGTGTGGCTGGTTCTAAAGTAGGACGACTTGGCAATCCGTGATGGTGGCATCAAGAAGACAGAGATGCACGCTCGAGATCAGACAGAGTGACCTGGGGAGGAACCCAGGAGCAGGCAGGGCAGGCAGCAGGCCCAGCTTAGGGGACTGTGCAGGGTTTCCACGAGCCATACTAAGGGGTGGCTCAGGCCTCCCCGGTGACTGAGACTGCATCACGGGCAGCATTTGGTAAATCTCTTACAAAAGGAACAGAGGCACTTTGGGACCAGCTCCATTGGACTGAAAGCGACATTTTGGCCAGTCTTTACCTCCCACCTCCTCAGTCAGTACATTCTGCTGGAGGACCCTCTCCTTGAAGGACAAGCCCATTAGAAACTCATGGAGAAGCCCCCAACAGAAGACAGATGTTTCTATCCCAAACCAGTTGAACTGACTCAATGGTGTCCCCCAGAAAGACAGTTCCAAGTTCTCATCTCCAGTATCTATGACTGTGACCTTTTCTGGAAGTAGACTCTGCAGGTGTAATTAACTTAAGGATCTCAGGAGATCGCGGGGGATTGTGGGTGGGCTGTCAGTCCAATGACTGTATCCTTATATGAGAAAGGAGAGGGGATCTGACACAGACCCCCACGGGCAGGACACATGGAGGATGCAGCAGAGGGTCACGGGAAAGCCAACTCTGCCGACTCTGTATGTCCCTCCAACTCAAACAGCAGTCCTGCTTTGTGAACCTTTACCCCTGCATCCTCACCCATCTCCCAGAGTCTGTCTGGGGCCACTGGACAGTTCGCAGGGCCCAGATCCCACGCAGAGATTTGCTCTCCATTTGCGCTGGCAAAGACGAGAGAGAACAGGAAGAGCCTGGGAGAGGCACCAGGCGTCTGGGAGCCTCACTACTGTCTTTCACACCAGGCACAGCCTCGAGGGCAGTTCTTGCTTTGTCTAGTCCTGAAAACAAGCTGAGAACTTGAGGGGTTTACATCTTTCTATGTGGCCAGAAAAGGTGGTCCTGGGCAGGGGGGCAGGCAGCGTGTGATTCCATGCGTTCTTGGGTTCTGAAGCCTCGTACACAGGGACCTCAGCCTAACTGAGGCCACCAGACTGCCACCTGCCTGGATGCACGTTGAAGGAGCCCACCTAGAGTGTGGACCCTCAATGGCAGTTGGTCATTTAAACTTGGGAGAAATACAGGGAATCTTCCTTTCTCAAAAGAGGCCCTTGAACTCAGGCTGGCAATTCTATCACAGATCGTATTTCAATTCAGAGAGCAGAACCCCAGCTCTTTTCCAGGAGGTGTGTTACGGTTTTATTAAGGTATCTTAGATACCCAGAGCAATATTTAGCGTGCTAATTTCCTCAGGAAGCAAAAACATCACCATTGTTTCAAAAAAGATGGTCATGGGGCAGGGGGGGTCATGAGGACAAATGACAACAAAAATAAGTTGCAAAATGTCCATACTGTTGTTTAAAAACACCACCTGGGAAATCGGTGACCCTGAGTCCATGCCTATTTATGAAACTTAAAAACCTTATTTTAAATATCGGACATTTGTGACATAGTTGTATTTTCAGAAGGGTATGCAGAAGCACTACGTCACAAAAACGTGGACGTTCTTATGAGCCCAGAAGACTTGGGACCTTGGTCCTGGCTCATCCTGGCACATCTCCATGTCAGCTTTTAGAGAATGATCATTACCACCACCAGCCCCGTGGGGAGCAGCGACTTTTCAGGCCTCTAGCTGTGTATACGACCTACTGCCAACATCAGTGACAAAACAAGAAGAGACTCCCTGTAAGAATGGGATCAGAACCATTGTGTGAAATTATGCCCAAGCACAATCTGGAACGTTATCTCACGTCAGTTGGAGAGGAACGGATCAGGGATGGGCACTGGAGGCAACAACACGTATGTAGTGGTACCGCGTGCTTATCATCTCAGTGACCAATCAAAGAGTGGGGAGAACTCAGTTTGATTTCTAGCTCCTTAAAATACATTGCTGTGAAGCAACCTTGAGTGATCACTCCAGCAGGAGAAAGTGCTGAACCAAACATCCCTGGGACGAAATGGAGAAACAGGCGACCCCGCAGAGGGGGCCACCATGTTTCCCGAGGAGTGATCACGTAGGTGATATTCTGCACGAAAGCCCGTTTCTTTCCCATCTTTCACTTCTAATAGGGTTTCCTGAGAGCGGACAGGCCTTTTCTCTGTGAGTGAGAGCAGAAAGGAGGTCAGTAGTGGAGAAAGCCAGGTTTCGGGAGAAACAAATGAGACCAGGAAAAAAGAACAGGGCATGGTTTCATGGGTTTACTGAAACGTGCAGAGGGTCAAAACTACAAGCCGAAGAATGCAGAACCAAGCACGTGCCAGGGATGGAGGCAGGGTGGGATGGGGAGGAGGGAGAGGTGTTCTAGAACTCTGCAGCAGGACAAAAGCTCAGCTCCAGGGAGCCTGGAGCTCCCAAGAAGGCATGAGGGGAAAGGACAGTGTTTCCAGGCTGCTGGACTAGCAGCCACAGATCTGGCCTCTGCTCTCACTGTGCAATTATTAACTTCCTACTGTTTAACTCTTTAGGTACGTATACATAATTTAATTGGCTTTGCATCTTAGTTGGTTATTTCTATATAAATCGCTTCTCGGCGTCACATCATCCATTCAAGAATTCCAAGCAAACTTTGGAGAAGGCAGAGTGCGTGGTGTGGAATGAGTCTTTGTTCTCTGGGCAATTGTCCTTGTGTGCAGCTAGAGGAAGAATACTGTCCTTGAAAATCCTGTACCCACGGCTTCTCCTTGGAGATCAGAAGTAGGGCAGGAAACCAAGGAGGGACAGTTCCCTTCACATCACAAAAGACGATTTTTGAACAGAGGACTATATCTCTAGGAGTGATTGTGAGTGATGGCAAAGGTACTCGTACCCACTTCTAAGAAAAAGAAAGAGGCCATCCATTCTGAAATGCAAGCAAAACCCCAGTGGAGGGGGTATTTATCCAAAGAGTGTTCAGCTACTGAGAGAACATTCTTGTCGGCTTACAATACCTACCGTGCTATTTTGAGATTTAGCAGGAAATGGACTCACATCTCTACCGTTCACAAAGTTTGCCTCTTGTGGAAGAAATGAGAGACCTTTTCCCTTTTCTCTGTATCTACGAATACACACCCACATTTCTCGTAAGTGGTAAAATTATTCTGGCGTGTTTGCATGAAAGCAGCTACAGGGCACATCAGCAAAGCGTTATCATTATTATCACTGGGCAGACTCTTTTTTTAGAATTGAAATAGAGTCCACATACAAAGTATTATTAACACAGCACTTGAGAGGAAGTTACGTGGAAAAGCGATGTCTTACCTGTCTACCCAGAACAAGCAGTGTGACGAAGAATATAAAGAGAGACACTGAGCCCATGGTCTTCAGGTCTTTCCAAATGCCTGGTCTATTAGAGAACAAACAGACAGACAGACAGACAAAAACAATACAAAACAACATACATATAAGACTTAGAATTTGAATATCAACCAACTTGAGACCCTCCAGTGCATGTCTTTTTACTCCAGCCAAACACACACCTTCCAGATACATCTTCAGGCCCAGAAATGCATCAAAACAAACCAAAATAATCCCTATTTTGAGAGTTCAGTAACAGAAGATTCTTCCAAATTAACAGACTTCTTACTTTATCTCAAGCTCTAACAAACATAAAAGGAAAGCAGAGAGGAATACAAATAGTATTTTCTTTCTCCTTCTGAGATCAATATGGATAATTTGACATATGATTTCTCCAACTGTTAAAGTGATCACTCTCAGAAAGAGACGGTATTCTAGAAATTAACAATCATGTGAGGTAAAAAAGTGAAGCAGGGAACTTAATTTCTACCAGCTACTCTCACCGACGAATTATATAGCTTCTCATAACTTTTTTGGCAGGTAGTTCCAGGTAGTTCTCAGGCCCTCTTTCATATGATTTTGTAACACAAAGGTGAGACACAGATGGAAACTCTTGGTCTACTGCCCCATTTCTCCTTGGGGCCAGGTAGACCCCAGTCATCGATCCCTGCCCGTGTCCTCACCACAACCTTGTAGGCAATGGTCACCCCCATACCTGGAGTCGGCATGTATGGTGGGCACGGGATACCCAGACATTCCTTCCCATGTTACTCTGGGTGTCTCTGTGAGAGTGTTTTCTGGATGAGATTAACATTTGAATCAGTAAACTGAGTAAAGCAGATTACTTTGTAATATAGGTCAGCCTCATCCCATCAGTTGAAGGCTTTAGTAGGAGAAAAGGCTGATCTCCCCCCAAATTAGAGAGAATTCTCTCTTGCCTGACTGCCTCTGAACTCAAACACTGGCTCCTCCTGGCTCTACTGCAGCTTCTGGCCTTCCGTCTCCAACTGGACATGCACGCTTCAGATTTTGGATTTGCCAGCCTCCATAATCGTGTGAACCAATTCCTTATGATAAACTTCTTGACTGATATATATTTATGTAGGATATTTATATCCTATTAGCTCTGTTTCTCTGGAGAATCCTGACTAATACAGCATGGAAGGAGACATCTCTTGCCATCCCTGGGGAATCCCGTGTAGCTGACAAATGAGGATCTCCCACATATAAGAGTAAATAAGACTTGAAAAAGAAATTATGTAATAAGACTTGAAAAAGAAATTATGATTATGTATGGACATATGTCACATAAGCAGCATAGGTCATGTTTAATTAAATTAAATAAATACCAGGTAATTACTTTCTGCTTGTGAGTTGCACTTGCTTTGAGGTTTTCCTGTTTCTCTACTGAGAGGGTTCAAAGGGCTGATGGAATAAGAGGAGTCCATGTGATAGTGAGAGAGCTCAGGTGGGCTTTGGTATAGGATAATCCATGGAGGAACTGAGGTTCCTCTGCTCTATCGATCTGTGGGACCTGGGTTAACCCCTCCAAACATCACTCTTGGCATCAGCCAAAGGGGGTCACATTGCCCATTTATAGGCTGTTTTGGTCACTAGGTCAAGTATTAAGCCCAGCACAAGGCCTGACCATGGGAGGCACTTCATAAATGGCACTTGTGAGTTTCAGTACTAGATGCAGAGTGACAAGGGAGGGGACAGAGCTGGAGAGATAGAGAAAAAGGTAAGAAAATGTAGGTTGGTGAATTATCATTAACAGAGTGGAAGATCCAAGTGCACAGGGAACATGGAAGCAGAATGGCCAGTCTCAGTGCTTGATGGGCTTAAGGACTCAGAGAACTCTCCAGAAAGGCTGAGCCTGCATTAGGGGCTCTTTCCTCCCTCCTAAACCAGCTGGCCTGCAAGCATGTGAGTTCCCCAGCTATAAGGAGGTCACTGGTTCCTGAGCATGAAGTAAGCTGAGAGCTGCCACTTTCCTGCTTGCCCACAACTGATTCTAAGAAATGAAGCTGTTCCCTTTCGAGCCTGTGACAGCTGTGTCTAATGGCACAGCCGAAGGGATGGAGGGGAGCAGATGTTTATAAACAATGCTGGCTGCAATGAATTCTAAACTCTTTTTTTTTTTTCTGTATTGACTATACTGATGCCACACTGCCCAGTCAGTGAAAGTGGTCAGACACAGCCAACGTTCTCACATGTGTGGGTGGAGTTTGACATTTTCATGTTGCTCTGTGAACCTTCTGTTCCTTTGTAATTCCAGGGGTCTGAGATAGCAGCTATGACCTTCCCCTTCTACCCGCACCCCTGTCACTCCCAAACTAAGAGTAAAATGTTAACTCCCAGGTCAGGATCTTGTAGCACCTTCATCAGTACAACCAATCAGAACTCAGGTCCTCCTTGCATTCCCAGGTGAGGGACCAGATGTCCCAAAAAATGCAGAGCCAGCCTAGGTCCCCATAACTGGGGAGAGGGGGACGTAGGACCCTCTTTATGCAATTCAGGGCCTGGTTGGGTTTTCAGTTAATCACACAGAAGATACAGACAAGAAATCTTTTTCTGGAACTCCTCACATTAATGTGTTTGAACATTGGTTTAGGGGACAGAAATGCTCTGCTCCACCCGTCTCCCAGATCTGGAGTCTTTGTGAGGATGAGTGGTGGGAGGAGCTGGGGACCTGGAGGGAGAAGGACAAGAGAAGATAAGACAAGTAGTTGCTGGATGGGACCTAATTGCGCCTTGGAAATAACAAGGCACATCCAGCCTCTAGAATAGAATCACAGGCCAACACACGAATGCCTTTTCCGCTCCTGACCCTGTCTGTCTATTAAGAAGGACTGCCCTGTGCTTTCAAGGATTGCATTTAGGTTTCTCAAAAACTTCTTTTATTCATCCAGCCAAAAAGAATGGCTGATTCCTGTAGGAGACTTTCTCTCCTGTGTGGGCCATGCATGGGCAAGTGCCAGATGGCTCCTGAAGTTTGAATGAGAAATCTGTCCATCCACAGGTGGGTTACCTTGCTCCTTGTGTGCGTGTGGGAGAGGCCAGGAGGAAGGGGAGCAGTGCAGAGGTAGCAGCATCCAGAATAGCTAGAAAAAAATCCCAGGATCTAGACTAGTCAATGGATCCATGATCACATTAGGTTCCTAGGGCTTCTAAAACAATGTACTACAAACTGAGTGGCTCAAAACAATGGACGTTTATTATTTCACAGTTCTGGAAGCCAGATGTCTGACATCAAGGTGCCAGGAGGAAAGTGCTCCTTCTGAAACCTGTGGGGACATCCTTCCTTCTTTCATTATGGCTTCTGGTGGTTGGCCACCAATCTTTGGTGCTCCTTGGCTTGCCACGGCATCATTTCATTCTCTGCCTCCATCATCAAATGGTATTCTCTCAACATGGCCATCTTCTTATAAGGAAACCAGCCATGTTGGGTTAGGGCTCACCCTACTCCAGCAGGACTTCATCTCAACTAAATCTGTCGGCAACAACCCTATTCCAAGTAAGGTCACATTGTGAGGTACTGGGGGTTACGACTTCACCATGTCTTCTTTTGGGAGACACAAGCCAGCCTATGACACTTGTGTTGGTCATTTACATAAAAATGACAGCTAGTTGGATGTGAGGCCTCCTTCTCTCTCTCCTTTAAGTTTTAAGGTTGAAATCCATTCTGGACTTTCCCCTTGTCTGGTTGTGCCATCCCTGAGTGATGAAGTAGGGGACACAGCACTAATATAACTGAGAAAGTTTCTAACTCAGTGACAGTTCTAGCCAAAATGTGACTGAATATGCTTTCTTTCATACCTAAAAATTGGGCTCTGGAGACTTAGATGCCCAAACGAGCCTGCAGCCACACACTAATTTACAGTGGGCCCTCACCCTGAGGCTGTTAATGGAGCGATCATTGTGGCCCTCAAGTTTTGAGAGTATAAAAGATCAAAGAAACCTACAAAATTGGATGAGCAATATGGAGGAAATGCCTGGTGGACCAGTCTCTAACCTAAAGGCAAATTATTCAGTTGAGGTAAAAAATGACATTTTTAATTCTCAGGAGAGAAAGCAGTCCAGGCATGGAGACACGAACATGATCTTATATTTAAAATCTTTATGTTTTCCTAGGTGATATAGGCCTCTCTTATTTTTAAGAAGAAAAGTATCTAAAGAAACTCAGGATTATATGGTAATTCTATTTTTTGTTGTTCCAAGTTTTTATTTAAATTCCAGTTAGTTAACATAGAGTGTAACATTGGTTTCAGGAGTAGAATTTAGTGATTCATCACTTACATACAACACCCAGTGCTCATTACAAGTGCCCTCCTTAATCCCCAACACCCATTTAACCCACCCCCCACCCACTTCCCTCCAGCAACCCTCAGTTCATTCCCTATTGTTAAGAGTCTCTCATGGTTTGCCTACCTGATTTTATCTTATTTTATTTTTCTTCCCTTTCTCTATATTCACCTGTTTTGTTTCTTAAATACCACATATGAGTGAAATCACATGGTATTTGTCTTTCTTTGACTGACTTATTTCACTTAGCATAATATACTCTAGTTCCATCCATGTTGTTGCAAATGGCAATTTCCTTTTCATGGCTGAGTAATATTCCATTGT